ACCCAATGTCACAACACGTGCTTAATTGGCCCAATTAATACCGTGTGGCCTAACGTGCGATTCACAAGTTAGTAATTCATTGCAAATCAAACAATAGTCAATCACACTCCACAAAATTAGCCACACCACATACGACATAACAGTACGAAATCAACCACAATTGACGTACAATCAGTCAACCCGGGCATACCCGGCAATTTCGCCAACGAGCTCCTAAATTGGTCATTAAACCCCATTATCCTCCCCAATAGTTCTCATTAATCCACTAAATTTTCCCGATAATAAATTCTACTAATCGGTCCTCAACCCAGTCTCAAATACACACTGCTATTATCTAAGCCAGTCCAAAATGCACCGATAATGCCTAAACCAGTAAAGGAAAAACGCACTATCAGTCCTAATCCGGGTTTAGGAATTTTACTCACCTAATCCAAAGTCACGACGTCGGGGAACGGCGGCCGATCACTGGTGAACAGTGAAACCGGCGGCGGGATTCCCGACGGATGGCGGCGCGCCGTACGGATCACTGTTCACGCCGGACCGTACGGACGCCGCGGATGACACCGGCACCTCGTCGGCCACCGTCCCAGCCTGTCAGTACAGTGTCCGTACAGAAAGTACTGTTCACTGCGTCCGTACGGGGTCACTGTTCACCCCTCGTCCGTACACCGCGCCGCCGTCTGCTGGGAATTCCGCTGCCGGTTTCACTGTTCACCAGTGATCGGCTGCCGTTCCCCGACGTCGTGACTTTGGATTAGGTGAGTAAAATTCCTAAACCCGGATTAGGACTGATAGTGCATTTTTCCGACTGGTTTAGGTATTATCTGCAGGCATTTTGGACTCGGCTTAGATAATAGCAAAGGTGTATTTGAGACTCGGGTTGAGGACCGATTAGTAGAATTTATTATCGGGAAAATTTAGTGGATTAATGAGAACTATTGGGGAGGATAATGGGGTTTAATGACCAATTTAGGAGCTCGTTGGCGAAATTGTCGGGTATGCCCGGATTGACTGATTGTACGTCAATTGTGCTTAATTGTGGTTGATTTCGTACTGTTATGTCGTATGTGGTGTGGCTAATTTTGTGGAGTGTGATTGGCCATTGTTTGATTTGCAATGAATTACTAACTTGTGAATCGCACGTTAGGCCACACGGTATTAATTGGGCCAATTAAGCACGTGTTGTGACATTGAGTGTCTGAATTATATTGGTGCTCGTGGTGCATTGCATTGCATAACATGGACACGCATTGCGTATGCCAAGAGTAAGGCATGTGATGAAATAAGTGCGAGAATGCGTGTCTGTCATGAGCATGTGATCACCTAAAATACCCTGAAGTGTTATACGCTGGGTTCAGATAATAATGAGCTGTGTGATCACCTAAGGACCTTCGGGTCGATACCGTCCTCATGCACTTTGAAGCAGACGATGCCCGCACGTCCGGAAGGCGACCATCCTCATGCACTTTGAAGCGTGCCTGGTTCGCAAGGAGAACAGTGTTGCGCCTCATGCACTTTGAAGCAGGCTAGACGCACCGGGCCATGAAAAATTGATGACTCGAGTCGTAATAATAATTAATTGGGCAAGTATGCCAGTGTGGGCCAGTAGGCCAAACAAATGTGCATGACATGTCAATGACATTTGCATGCATAAACATGCATTGATTGGCATGCGAGTGTGTGAGACTCGGTGTGTGAGCATGTGATTGACGTACGTGTGATAATGTGTATCACGTATGTCCCGTGATTATTACATTTTGAACTGTTTAACCTGCAGGGTCAGAGAATTGTATGATTATGGTTGTGTTATGATTTTAAATGTTTGTTTCCTGTCAGGAGATTGCATGCTAGCCTAGCCTAGCCTAGGTTTAGGGGTTGAACTCATTGAGATTCGTCTCGCGGTTGTGTAAACCGAAACATTTCAGACCCCCGGCCGTGAGGATGGAGAGGCCACCGCCTCTTTTTGGGATCCCGTTACAGATCCAGCAATATACCAGTACCTACCCCTCGAAAAACGGGGAGGCTTTTGTGAGATATCGATCCGAAGTGATTGTGAATATAGGCGAGTATTATTATCAGAAGCAGGAGTACGTGGCATGGTGCCACCAGGATGCCGCTGGAAATGAGGGAGAGCCCCTCAGGACCTTCGATATCCCAGTCGATAGTGTTGGGTTGATGCAGCCGATTATAGCCGGTGGTGAGGTGATCAATCCAGAGGCCACGCCCGAATGGATGAGGCAGGAGGAGGAGATGGACGAGGAGCCCGAGGTAATAGCAGAGGACCCTGAACCGATGGAGGAGGACCAGAATGGCGAACCCGAGGCCATGGAGCAGGACGATGAGGAGGACGGAGAGGTGACAGAGCTGGGATCGGATGAGGAAGGGATTGAGCTTTACCTTGACCCAGAGTTGGAGCTGGACTCCGAGGACGAGCGAGCTCAAGCTATGGATTCGGAGGAGTCAGGGTCTAGAGAGGACGCCTCCGAGGAGTTATCAGATGACCCCACCGAGTCGTCCGATCCTGACTGGGAGCCTTAGGGCCGCCCAATGTCCTTAGCTAGCAATGAGGGCCACTACTTTTTGAACTGTCGCCCTCTCCCCTAGTTTAGTCTGACCTCCCTAGCCGCTTATCCCTTTTTGACTAGGTGGCTGCTAATCGTGTGTAGTTTTTGTGTGTTCCTGTAAATGTTGTACAAATGATTTTTAATAGTAAAACAAATGTGTAATTATTTTCTATGATGGTGTTTATTGTATGGCTATCCTCGGCTCATACTGTAATTGTCTGGGTTTGTTTATTTTATGCTTCCGCTTGTGCTTGATCTCTGTTGGGTGTGTGTTGGCGGCGCTTCCTGGGACGTCGCAGCCAACTTATCGACCGAAGGTCGGATGTTCACGCTTCGTGGGGTACGGGGCGTGACATAAGCAGTGCTCAAGTCTTTCTTGGTAAAATCTACAAGAGGCAGAAATAGAGAATCTGACAAGCAATATAAGTCGCAACAAAATCTCACATTTAAAAATTAAATTAAAATCTCTAATTCTTGTGCATATATTATTTGTGTATATATCGTTTCCAGTTTGACTTATAGACTGAATTTTTAAATCGATAAAATAAATTTCAACATTTAAGTTATGAAAACAAAAATTAAATGTTCTGACTCTTTTGATTGAAATCTCTAATTCTACTTCTAAGTTATAAAAAAGTATATTATTAGAGGGTTTATTACATAACTGTGTATCTTTTAAAACCAAGGTATAAATCAACGTATAATGAGGTATAACTATGTGTATAATAAGCAATTACTTTCATGATTGAAAATTTGTATGAATACCCATTACAACAAAATATTTTTTCATATTTCACAAGTAAGTGAAAAATTTGTTTGGATGCAAATGTCAAATGATTAGCAAAATGAAAAAGGGATAATTTTCATAAAAAAGGAATTTGAAATACAGGGAATCAGAATATAATCTTAAAGAAATCACCTCTAAATCTCTTCAATTGAAGAGGAGTGAATGGAGAAGAGATAAAAACATTTCACTTTCGAGAAAGTTTTACACAAATAACTTGCTTGCGTTTTACATACCAAGTTCTTTGGGTGCGTACCAGTGCACGGACTACAATGTGCACCCGATGCACTTAGGTTTCTCAAGATCGGTAGTTTTGGTATCAAGTTAAGAATAATAAAGCGAAAGAGAGTAATATGGAAATTATGTATACTTTGATGTGTATATTAATGAAGAATATATTATCCTATTTATAAGATTTATTAGATAATTATTTTAAGATAATATGTTAATCAAGATATGTACAATTAAAGGGAGATTTATGTGCAACATACGTGCAATATATGTGTAAACTTGAGAGATATAGATAATCAACATAAATATCATAATTATCTCTAACATAGGAAAATATCTTATAAAAAGTCCTAAATATCTCCAACATACCCGTAAACTTAAGGTGCATAGAAGTCAATTTGAGTTTGTGTATAAGTATGAATAATGTCCGGCAGGGAGCAGAAGAAACTGTTGGAGAACTATGGGAAACATATTAGGTTCTGGATAGATAGATGGATTCCAGGTATGGAATCACTCTATAACATCGTTAGTACTCAACTGTCTCCTTTCGAGATGGACATGAAAATTTGGGATTATGTGTTGAATGAAAATTGGAATTTTCAAATAGTCCGGGGAATAATACTAGAAGATATAATCTTTTTTGCATTCGAGCTACTGATGGAAAAGTGTGGGAGGGTGGCGGAAGTGGGTCTTTCTCTGTTAAGTGAGCATGCCAAGTAATCAATGGGACCGACAATCAAGAATCCAATAGTATATGGTCCACTATTTGGAAGTGGAAGGGACCTCAACGTATTAGCACTTTCCTCTGGCTAGAAGCTCATAAACAACTGTTGACTAATAAATTGAAGATGTCTCGCAAATTGGAAGGAAATCTATATTGCTTGACATGTTAATCTCATGTGAAAAACTTTATATGTTCTAATGGATTGTCCGATTGTTCATGGAATATGGCATGAGTTTGTCCCACAACAATAATTGGGAGAATTCCTCTTAATGAATTTGTCTCAATGGTTGAATTCAAATCTCACTGGTAAAGGGCTACCGAATTTTCATCATGATTGGAGCATAATTTTTGGAGTAGGTGTGTGGCTTTTTTGGCAATGGAGAAACAAGTCACTTGTCCAGGACAATTTTGTTTTCCCTTCAAATCCGGTACAAATAATTGGGTTATGCACAAAAGAAATCATCAAAGCTTCGTCTGCGAATAACTTGACCTTAAGTGAAGCATGCACTTCTCCGATTTTGGGCAGATGGGGTCCTCCACCTTCTGGTGATTCCTGAAGCAAAGCTAATAGAATGTCAACGTACCTTATTGGGGCATCTCTATGGTAATCCCAACGTTAATTTTCAAGCCTTCCAGTTGACTATGACAAAGGCATGGAAATCTGCTCATGTTATTTGCAAACACTTGGAACTAGGTCTTTTCTCCCTTGAATTCCCCTCTGCTCAAGAGAAGGACATAATTCTTAATTCTCGTCCATGGTCTTTCTCCAGCCACCTATTAGTGCTTAAGCCATGGGAGCTGAGTACTCCTCCCCATAGTATTACCTTTGATTTGTGTGCCTTCTAGATGCAAATCCATGGTTTACCTATAGAAGGAAGGACACAAGATGCTATTAAAATGATTGCTGAAAATGCGGGAGAAGTCTCTGAAGTTAAAATTGAAACGAAAGGATATATGTCCATTGTAATTGGCAAAGCTAAGGTTTCATTATCCCTCTCGGCCCCACTGATTTCTGGTATTATCTCCAGCTATCAGGGAAAGGAACATTGGCTGGATTTTAAGTATGTACGGCTACCTCATTTTTGCTACTCGTGTGGGAGGATTGGTCACTATGCAAAAAGCTACAATATAGTAGCTTATGAGGAAGAATTCTACTCTAACAACGACAATATACTCTTCGGCTCCTGCCCAAAGGCCGAAGCAAATGTGAACAGCCCCTTTTGGAAGGCTTTCTATGGGGAGATTACTGAGAAAATTGGGACAGATGACATGGTGCCGGAGACACCAGTGAACTTCGAGCCATTAAATATTGCTGTATCGGATTCAAACAATCCCCATAACATTCAAAAAAATTCTCAGGATGAAAGGGGAAAAGAAAATTGAAGGAAGGAGATTGCAGCTATCACGGAGTTTCATAGGAATCGGAGGATTTCTCCCCTCCCATATTGGCTCCTACATTACTCTTAGAGCTCCTACATTATTCTTAGAGCTCCCTTCATCACAATGTGCAGAAGAAAATAAGCTGAAAAGACAGAGGAAAATAGAAGGCAAAAACAGAAAGAAAGCCGGAGGAAAATTCCCCTTTGACGCGTTGAATACTGATGTGAATATGTTGGATGAGACCCATCTCTTGGAAACCCCAGTCCAAGATGCTGTGGAAACGGAAATGTGGGCTTTGGTGGCTAGCCCTAATAAGCCACCGGGTCACGCATGAATATATTATGTTGGAGCTGTCGGGGGCTGGGCACTCCCCTGACAGTCCAAGCTTTGAGAGCCATTATGGCTCATGATAGGCCCGATTTGGTTTTCTTAATGGAAACCAAGAATCAAGAAGTGTTTGTTCAGAGAGTGCGACATAGGTTGAACTTCCAGCATTGTTTTGTGGTAAACCCATGGGGGATTGCAGGGGGGTTGGCTATTATGTGGAATGATGAAATCACAATCAAGGTAAATCTAGCCTCCGATGATTTTATTGATGTCATTTATGAGGACTTTGAAAGGAGATAGCATTTCAGAATTACTTTTGTTCATGCTCCCGCGGTATATCAGGACAGACTTGCTTTATGGGAGAAGTTAAAATGTTTAAACTCTCAAAACTTCTTGCCATGGGTATGCCTAGGGGACTTCAATGAAATTCTATACCATTGGGAGAAGGTGGGAAAACGAATGGCAGAACATTATCAATTGTATGCATTCAGAGATTTCTTAAATGAGTGTGGCTTGATGGATATGGAGTGTAAGGATTGCGCGTTCCCCTGGGCTAATAACAGAGAGAGAGGAGTATGTGAAAAAAAGACTAGATAGAGTAACCTGCAACTTTGAATGGAGAATTATGTACCCTAAAGTTGAAGCTATTGCATTGGAAGCTATTGGTTCGGATCACAGTCCCTTACTTCTTTCACTTTCGACTGAAAATTTAAAGAGAAGGGAGTTCAAATTTGAAATGTTCGGGCGGAAAATGAAGAGTGCGGGAAATTAGTAAAAGAGGTGTGGAATTCTTATAGATGGGAAGATTTGAATTTAGCAAATAAGCAAAGTTGTATCTTGTGCACTACGAAAATGGAGTAAAGAGGCTTTCCCCAACAACCTTAGGATGATTAATGCCTTAAAAGAGGAACTCCAACACCTGATTAACAGTCATAATCCACCGTTCGGAAGAGGCAGGATTCGGGAATTAACTGAACAGATTGAAGGTTATTGGAGGAAAGAGGAGATGTATTGGGGCATAATGTCAAGAATTAATTGGCTGAAAGGGGGGGATAAAAACACTAAATACTTTCATGCCACGACGATTCAAAGGAGGCAGCGAAATAGAATTTCAACCTTGAAAAATACTGAGGACCTATGGATTTGTGATCCAAGGATGTTGAAAGAGATGTTGGTAGAGTTCTTTAAAGATCTATACAGGTCAGTAGGACCTCGGGATTTTGATCCAGTTTTACAACAATGCCCTATTCTTGTTATGGAAGAAATGAATCATAAGCTTATTGAAGAAATCTCAATGGATGAAGTGAGAAAAGCCGTATTCCAGATGGGTTCCTTGAAAGCTCCAAGACCGGATGGTATGAATGGTCAGTTTAACCAACAATATTGGGATGATATCAAACAAGATGTCTTCCAAGATGTGAGGAGATTCTTTGAATCGGGTTACCTTGACCCTGAGCTCAACACAATCCACATCTACTTAATACCAAAAGTACCTAACCCGGAGAGACTAGACCAGTTTCGACCTATAAGTTTGTGCAATTTTGCGTACAAAATTTTCTCTAAAGTCTAGGCCAATAGACTGAAACCATGGCTTCCCGCCCTTATTGCGGGAGAACAAAGTGCATTTGTGGGAGGAAGGCAAATTCAGGACAATATCCTAAAAGTGGAAGAGGTGCTGCATCAACTGAGAGTTCGTAAGAGAATGAAGAAATTTCAAGCGGTGCTTAAACTTGACATGAAAAAAGCTTATAATAGAATAGAGTGAGACTTTCTAGAGGCTTGTATGCTGAAAGTAGGATTCCGTCATAAATGGGTTGACAGGGTAATGGTTTGTGTTAAATCAGTATCATTCAACGTGAAATTCAATGGTGAGCCACAGGAATATTTTCAACCATCAAGAGGAATTAGACAAGTAGATCCTATCTCCCCTTATCTGTTTATATTGATAGCAAATCCCTTGTCAGTTTTGATTACGAAAGCAGTCGAGGATGGAACAATTACTGGTATTAAACTAAATACATATTGCCCTATCCTTTATCATCGTTTATTTGCTGATGATTCAATGTTCTTCTTAGATGGAAAAGGGGGGAAGAACAGTCGAAGTGCCAAAAGTTGTGTACGGAGCTCACTTTAGTGTCAAAAGTTCCATTTGGATCACTTAAGTGCCAAATCGGAGGAAAAATGATCACTTTGATGCCAACGGCGAGAGATTCCGGCCAAATTAATACGTAGCATTTATAATTAAATTTTTAATTTTAGTTGGATTTTTTTTAATAAAAAATTAGTCTACGTGGCATTTCCACGTATATATTTCGATTTTTTAAATACTTTTCTGAATTTTTTTCTTTTCTTTCTTCTCCCTTTGGTCACCGCCGGTGACTGGAGGCCGGCCACCGGCCGCCTGGCCTCGTCCGGACGAGGCCGCCTCCGTCGCCCGCCACAGGCGAGGCCCGGCCGACCCTCGCCTAGGCGACGGCGGGCAAGCCCCAGCGAGGTCGGCCTTGCCTCGCATGGGCGAGGGCGAGCCCCGGCAAGGGCTCCCCTCGCCAAATCCGACGAGGCCGGCCGTCGCCCGGGCCACGGCGGCCCCGCGGCGTCGCCCGCCCTCGCCCATGCGAGGCGAGGCCGACCTCGCCGGGCTTGCCCGCCGTCGCCCGTGCGAGGGTCGGCCAGCCTCGCCTCGTGGCGGGCGGCGGCGGCCTCGTCCGGCGAGGCCAAAGCGGCTGCTGGCCGGCCTCCGCCACCGGCGGTGACCAAAGGGAGAAGAAAGAAAAGAAAAAAAGAAAAGAAGGAAAAAAGAAAGAAAAGAAAAAAAAAAGGAAAAAAGAAAAAAATTATTTAAAATAAAAAATGCTGACTGTACGTGCTGACTGTATCTCCGGCGAGCCACATCGGCTTCAAAAATTAATAAAAAAATGCCACGTCGAATTTCCAACCAAACTGACCGGAGTTGGCACTTAAGTGATCGTTTTTCAAAAATTTTGGCACTTAAATGATCCAAATGAAACTTTTGGCACCAAAGTGAGCGCCGTACACAACTTTTGGCACTTCTAGTGTCCTTCCCCCGATGGAAAAGCGAAGGAATGTCAGAACTTAGCATTAATCTTGAATCAATATTGCTATGCCTCTGGGCAAGCAATTAATTTGAATAAGTTTGATATTTCATTTAGTATGGGCTGTCCACATAGCTTGAGAAGAAATATGGCTGGTGAATTAATAGTCCTGGAAATTGAGAAGACAGGAAAATATTTGGGAATTCCATCTGATTGGGGCGTGTCCAAAAAACAAATGTTTTCCTAGATTTTAGCAAGAGTTAACATGAAGCTTGAGGGGTAGAAGGAAAATCTAATCTCCAAAGCTAGGAAAGAAATCCTGATTAAAACAGTGGTTCAAGCTTTGCCACAATACACCATGTCAATTTTTAAAATCCCAGTCCCGATTTGTCATGCCATTGAAGAAAGAATAGCTGCCTTTTGGTGGAGAAATATTGAGTCTAAAGCTGGCCTTCATTGGAAAAGATGGGAATTGCTAAAGTTAAGAAAAGACCAGTGGGGAATGGGTTTTAGAGATTTATTATCCTTCAACAAGGCCATGCTAGGGAAACAAGCCTGGCGATTATCTCAAAACCCACAGTCTATATGGAGTCAAATTTTAAAAGGAGTTTACTTCCCTCGAAAATCCTTTTGGAATGCAGAAAAGGGATCCCGCCCCTCTTGGGGATGGAAATGCATTTTGTTGGGAAGAGATACAATCTCACATTATGTTATGTGGTCAGTGGGCACTGGTGATGAAATCAAAATTCGTTAGGACAGATGGCTTAAACGTGGAATTATTGGGGGACTAGCAGGGTATGGAGAACCAACAAAAGTGGTTGATTTGATAATGAACGAGGAAGATAAATAGGATGAACAAACCCTATACAGACTCTTTGATGAGCAAATCGTTAGTGAGATACTAACAATTCCTCTGAAGACTCAAAATTCGCAGGATAAACTTGTTTGGACTAGAACTAAATCAGGTCAGTTTACTGTAAAGAGTGCCTATATAATGGACAGAGAAGAGGTAAAACAGGATTCCACAGCGCAGGCCTCAACATCATACCAACCACTCCGCGAGCTTTGGAAAAGTATTTGGCGTTTGAATACCCCCCAAGAATCAGAATTTTCGTATGGAGCTTGTGCCAAAATGCAATCCCTACCGGAGATAACCTATTCAGGAGAAAGATCATACTTGCACCCACTTGCCCTTTTTGTAATCAGGATGCCGAAACAGTGGAGCACCTGTTCTTGCTCTGTTCTTGGACCGCTTCTATTTGGACTGCTCCTACGCTACAAATCACAATTCAAGGCTCGGGTTAGCAGAGGATTGGTTACAAACTTACGGTACCCACTCGGTAGATCCACCTTCCCACGACACGGTGGCTTGCGCTCTCTGGTCAATTTGGAAGGCGAGGAACAATTTTGTATTTCGGCAACAGATCCTAAATCCAACGACCTTAGGGGAATCGGCGCACATAATGCTCAGCAATTTTCAGAGATGGAATGGAAAAACGAGGAAGCTTCAGTCGGAGATCGGAGAATTACCTCGACATTGGGTTCCCTCGAGAGGCCAAACCTTAAAAGTGAATATTGATGGGTCGTTCGTGGGCGGAGCAAACACCGAAGCTATAGCCGGCATGATTCGCGACTCGTCGAGGACGATCCTTGATGGTTTTGCCAAATCTGTAACAGCAGCCTCTGCCTTCCATGTAGAAACCCCAGCTCTCATTGAAGCTCTCTCTTTCCTCACGACCAGAAGAAGCGAAGTACTTGACGTGGTGTCAGACTGTTCAGAGTTGGTAGAAGCAGTTTCCAACTCTCCCGAAGCTCCATGGGAAGTACAATCTCTAGTATCTGAGGCCCGACAGTCCATGGGCTCATTTGCACACTTGAAGCTAGTCCACTGCAGACGTGAGGGAAAATTGTGTTGCGGACTGGATAGCCAAGGCCAAAGATTAAATTTTCTTCCTTGTAATTGGTTAGCTTGTCCCCCCCAAACCCCTTTGGGAGTTACTTTTTCTGGATGTTCCTCTAGCGAGAACTTATGCTTAAGTACTTTTCATTCAATAAATTCGTATTTCGACCCAAAAAAAAAAAAAGGCAACCCATGATTTGTTAGCGCAGGGGGTTTATTTAGCAACTTCTTAGGAATATGTTCATCGACACAAGTAGAAGTTTGCAAAATAACTTGGTTTTCTCAAGATCATAATTGAGATTGACTCTAAGGCCATCATAATCTTTTTAGTCCGAAGCTAATGAATGATAATGCTGACCTTGCTTTACTTGAAGATATCTAAAGACTGTTGTGCTCTCACTTCGAGTTCAAAGTGTAACATAACTTTGGGGATAGAAATAGCTCTGCTTACTAATTTGCTAATATTGAAATCGATAAGCGCTTGGATACTAGATTCTTTTTATTACCGCCTAGAGAGTTACTTCATGTTTTATTAGGTGGTAAAATATGGACAATAGATTTATGACAGTTAATTTTTGTATTTGGCTTTAACCCTTTTCCATACCAAAAAGAAAAAAAAATTACGATTTGATGTCTCATATTATCTTTCCCTCGAAGGATAAACCTACGTGATGGTACTTGGATATACTTTTGGAGATTACTCTTTAATCAAAGGGTCTTCATCTCCAAAAGTAGATAAAACATGTGTCCAAGTCGAAAGCCACGGACATTCGCAAAGACCCCTCCTTTAGTAGAATGTATTTTATGGGACAGGTACACCATGCGGTAATGACATGTAGTGTAACCGACCAGTTCAAAGTGATACGCATACACATATTGACGCCAAATAAGGCAAGATTCATAGCACATAGACGATAGTGATTAATCGGTTACATCACGTCATCTCTTTCATATGGTGTATCCGGCACATGAAATACTTTCCCCATCCTCTAGATGTAACAAAAGAAAGACACCGAAGACGTCAATGGGATATGTGATAGGTAGATTAGAGGCCATTGTCATTGTACTGCGCGCGTTGATGTTTGCTCATTTACTAGACTGCGCAAACTACTTCGAGTTAAATTCAATTGCTGCACCATGACTCGAATCATATGGAGTGGCAACAGTTTGAGCATTCAACGGAGTCGAGATGCGGTTTGCAAACTTAATCGAAGTGTGGCCTTTTCTTATAATGATGTATCTTTCCTTATTATAAGAACAAACTCAAGATAAGATTGAGCTTAATCGATATTTCCTTCTTAATGGACAGCCAAGCCGGAACAGCTGCCATGTGAACACATTCAAGTAAAGCTCAAGCTAAAACCAAGTTTCATTGAGCTCAAATTGATAATTTAATCTTAGATTTCACTATAGTTCCTTTCTATTTAGAAAATTCGCAAATAAAAGAAAAGAAGTCATTGTACTCTTTCAACATCATTACTTGATGATAACCAAAAAATCGGAGCCATAAAGCTGATTCTCATCCTCTCTTTTCGTTATATTCCTCCAATCTAGTCCATTCTTGTTCCATTTCATCGTACCAAATGTTCTGTTACATATGTTACTTGTTCATTTGACATCCTTACAAGAGGGAGATCTTGAACTGAAATGATATATAACAATCTAAGAAGAGGGTAGTTTGTGACGTCCAAGTAAAGATCTGTGAAGTACATCACTCTCGCATTGGTTCTGCATCAGGTGACGAAGACTGTTGCCAAGCAATACCAAACTTATGAAAAAAACCAGAAAAAGAAAACACTCAGAGCTTCAGTCAATTTGTATTTCTCTGTAAAAAATCAATTTCAACCATTTCAAGTCACAAGTAAGATTTTACCCGTGCTTGAGGAGTTTTTTTTGGGTTAATTTGCTGCAGCTTTCTGTTAATTTAGATTGAGTAGATCGTTACTTATGGTGACATAACAAAGAAAAAATGGTATGATGGAATCAAACTTCATTCGAAATTGCCCGGCATCGACTTATAAGCTTACCTTGTGTTCCTTGGGTTAGCTATGTTCTCGCTTGACCAACTGCCAAGTCACCCAGAGGGCAAAAGAAACTCTTAAGGCTTAATCCACAGGAATGTAAATACATTGCTTCCACTGAATCAAAATCACAGGACATTCATTGTTAAAAGGGCAAGAATACTTGCAATAAAACTTCTTAAATCATCCCCTACACTTGCTCATTTTTCCGTTAATTCCAGAATCGATCCAGGTAGGAAAGTCATAAATTTTTTTCTACTGGTAACCAAATCGGTTAAGCTAGAAACCGAGAGAACAGAAAAGAGGCATGACTATTTTAAGTTTCTAATGTAAACAAAGATATCAACTGGCAAAAACAAGTGCACGAAGTACAAAAGCCCAGCAGGTCACGTTTATCAGTATCTGAGCAGACAAAATTGCCTGAATATATTGTAAGACTGACGTGCTATAATATACTGTGAGAACGGTGTACTATATAAGTATCACATCTCGATAAAATGTGGCCACATAGTTTTACTTTCCTTCCCTATTTGTCCATAACTTCTAATGGAAGCAAAGAGCATATAGAGATCAGGAAAGTGTAATTGCAAAAGTAAAAGCTCTCATATTCTGCATCTACAACAGAGGTCATGTTTTTACCTAGATATGTACAGCACCTAACCATACATATTTTCATATACACAAAAAACCACTAACCTAACATCTCAATTACCACGGACCGGTTTGTGTTCTTCTCAAGCATCGCTTCTTAACTCCCCGTTGTGTATTCATCATCTCTATGACCTGTCAGACAGGTAATGAATCAGCATAAGATAATTTTCCTTATTACATTAAAGAACATGTCCAGTCAAGAGACTCAAGAAGACTAAGCAGAGACACCCTAATAGAATGCATTTACCAGATGACACTAGTAGTTCATATTTTTAGTAAAACTTCTGAATGCACGAACAGGAAGAGCTCTTGGCAAGAGAAACATGAAAGACGGAATCTAACAATGATATGAGAAGTTGATCGCTTTGTACACTTGTTCAAGCGTAGGCCATATGATACAATGGAATTAAGTAAGCATCAGGCTGCTAATTACAATGACTCTATGTCAGCTGAAAAGGTGAGTAGCATGAAAATAATGAGCCCCCCTTTGAAGATCAAGGAAACTGATTGAGTTATGAGGAAGGAAGCACAAGCCGTAGATAAATTTTTTGCTCATCTCAACTTGATCTTTTTTTCCTTTAAGAAGCTTTTAACAGACGTGAGGAAGTAAGACTTTCCTAGGATGTTGGTTATATTGGAACCTTCAACCCAAAAACCTACTTTCTCGGCATGATAATGTCCATTTTTTCAGTTTCCATGTTTTCTATACAGTTCCATTTCCCATCTTATATTGAAGGCAACATACATCCACTTCTCGATGCAATAATATGTTGAAAGGCACATAACTTACCTGGTTTTTCTGTATTTCCATTGTCTCTGCCTGCATCAATCAAAGAAAGATGAGGTGAGCTACATCCTATTAGGCTAAGCCCTTATGTAGTATGAGTACACAGAATCGGGACAAAGAAATACCTGCTTTTTTCGTAGTTCTTCATTTTCCTCCTTAAGCTTTGCAACCTCGGCTTCCAGTTCCATTGTATAAGCCTGATAATACCAAGTCAAAGAATAAGATAGATGAAAGAAAGAACAGTGAATACATCTCAAGTAAAAAGAGATATAAGTCCATATGCATTGGCTAACATCAAAGACTCCCCAGCTGCCTTAATCATTACAAGTCAATGCTGCATTTGCAAAAGGCCACGTTCTTACTTGATCCCGTGTTTGGTTTCCCTGATATGACTCTAATTCTGCAATTTCTAGTGATGTTCTCCCCATTTTTCATTACTTTGCGAGATCAGATTGTATATCACATATCACATCTACTGGCCATTTCGGTTAGAGGAAACAGATCAAGCTCATTTGTTTCTCACCTGCTTGCGAGCACGCGATCTTGCAGCCGACTCTCGGTTCTTTATCATCCTCCTCTGCCTTCTCTCCACAACTTTCTCCACAGCACTGTTGCACTTTCTTCCTCTCACACCACCATTAAACACGTATGGTATGGGTGATACTGAGGAGGTATCCCCATTACTTCTTCCCATTCCATCAGATGAGACTGGATTAGCAGGCGATCCAGTTGGCATGCCCATGGGTCCAGCTCCTAAACCGACCATCCCCATTCCTCCTCCATGCAAAGCGCCTCCCTGAACCAAGTTATTAGTCATTACTTGATCTGGAATCCCCATCAGTCCGCCCCTAAATCCCTGACTGTTGAGCTGAGCATTGTTAGGTGAAGGGATCTGCTGTGCGAATGGCAAAACGGGCTGCTTTGGGAGGATCTGTGGCTGATGCGCCTGTGGCTGCGGTTGTGTTACCTGCTGCTGGTTCGATCTGATTCCATTCACATTCACTGGCATGTTCAGAGCCTGCACGGGGTTCAAATTACAGCCCTCCAAGTTCCTCATCCCCATCAAATTCGCAGCTTTTCCTGGCTGCGGGAATCCGAATCCTAATCCAGCATTATTCCCAGAACGTGGCAATTCACCGAACAGTCCTCCACTATTTGGCTTTCCAGAGAATTGGGCGTCTTCTCTAACGACGCCTGCCTTGAACAAAAACTCCTCCAATGTCATTTCGCCCAAAGTTTGCTGTCGCTGCCGCATGACCGGTCCTCCAGTCACAATGCCACCATCCTTCCCGATTGAATATTCCTTAGAAATGTCCTTCCAAACCTCATCAACGGTCTTTTGGCTCAGCGTCCGGGGAAGCGTCAGTGAACCCTGCCGCTGCAAATAACTGCCAGGTACTTCAATTCCATCCTGCCCGCCCTGTCCGCCGGCACCAGCACCACTAGCAGATGCCATGGATTGGTTCTCCTCTGCAGACCAAATGTTCTTTAACAGCTCATCCATGTTCATGGAC